GGGGGTTCATCTTCCCAGGGCCTGTGCATGAACTGAGACATGTGCCCTGGGATCCCTAGGTTGAGGCGCATTGTCCGTCACACTGTACCTTGGCCAGTTAGACCTCATCACCATGGATGAGGGGCCTCGGTTCACTATAAACGGGAAGAACTGAGATGCACGGTGCAGAGTCGAGGGGGTTCCCCTAACACTCTGCTCCTGTTTTTCCAGCTGTACTGGGGGATAGAAGGGCTCGCTTCTGCACACCCCTTTGCTTCATCGAACAGAAAAACTTAGCAGGGGGTGTAGTTCAGTGTTTGGGCACGTGTGAGGCCCTGGGTTCAATCCTCAGCACCACCAACAAGAAAAACGACCCAAATGATGTTCAAGGTGGGAAAATAGAGAGAGAAACATCTGATTGCATAACACCACGTAACCAGGAGTTAATGGGTGTAATTTATGTATATTTCAGGGATCAGAGTGGTGTATGAAAAGAAAATTAAGGAGACGAAGTCCTCTGAGACTCTGAATAAAAAAAGATTATCATTAGACAAGTATTTTGTTTGAAAAGAAATGGAAATCTAAAGTATACATTTGCTGCTACTTTTTCTTAAATTAATGAAACAAATACTAAGGGGTATGAGATTACAGATGAAGAAAATCCACATTTTTTTTTAAATGCCTGTATTCTTCTCTGTTTGGGAACTTTGGAACTGATTCAAAATCAGTTACTGACATGTATACTTTTCTGTTTTATATATTATGTGTCAGTAAAAAATTGTCAAAAATCAAATTCCTTGATAATCTAAAAGAAGGTTGTAAGTTTTCTTACACAGAACAAAAGAAGATAATTAAGATGGAAATGTGGAAATGGGTTCAGCTGGCTGCACACATTGCTGCTGATAGTGAATTCGGAGAGGTCCTCAAAGAGGGTTGGGGTTTGGGGAAAAGCTTGTCAAAAGCTAGAACCTAATATCCAAAGTCCTGAGCCAAGAGTTGCCACAGGAGGGGTTTTCAGTTAAGAAAATGAGCCAGCTAACCGTGGCTAAAACAAACAGGGATGTATTTTCCTCATAAAACAAGAAGTCCAGAGGTGGGTGATCGCTAGCATTCATTCAGCTACAGAGAAATGCCATCAAGGACCCTGAGCTCTTTCATCTTTCCTTCACTCCATCCTGGCAGTTGGATATCATCCTATCCTCATGCTTCATATTCACAGAATGGCTGCCACAATCCCAGACATTTCTTCTGTGATCAAGGCAGGAAAAAGAAGACAACCAACATCCCATCATATCTTTCCTTTTATCAGAAAATCCACAGGCTTTTTAGCCTTTTCATTGACCAGCACTTTAGCACATAGCTGCCCTAGCTGCCTTCATAGAAGGAGAGGGCAGGGAGAAGGAAAGTTGAATATGGCCATTGGGTTAACCCGTGTCTGCCAGAGAGACTGTCTTAAAGAGAATCAACTTGTGGTTTCATGCTGTTGGGAGGAAATAAGAATATAAAATCTTTGGGAGTATAGCACAGGACTGCAAACCTTTCCACTAATAGAATCATAAAAGCACCTCTCTGGAGTGGCGTTAAAATGCCTGTTTGGAAGGCAGGTAGCTTTATATTTCCCCCTGAGTTGGTGATAGACCTTAATTAATGCTGGTAAGTTCCCAGTTGTGCCTGTGTCACTTGGACCCTTTCATTCAGTCATTCATTTATTAAACAAATATATACTAAGCACTGATAATGTATCAAGTTCTGTGCTCATGCCAAGGGTCCACAGATAAATCACAGAGCCCCATCTCCCAGGGACTTGACAGTCTACCAGGGAAAGCAGGCCAGAGAACCTCCATAGGAAGCCCTGCTGCTTGTTGTGCTGTGCTGTGTGCTTTACGTTATATTGATATGTGTAGATGATATGCGAGATGTGTTAGTCCACTTTCCATTACTATTACACAATGCCTGTAATGATCAACTTAAAAGTGGTAAGGCTTATTTTGGTTCACAGTTCCATAGGTTCCAGTCCGTGGTCAGTTGGCCCTGTTACCTTGGGCCTGTGGTGAGGGACGCATGTGGAAGGAAGTTCAACACATGGCGGTCAGGAGCAGAGGGTCTGGGTTCCAGTATCCCCTTAGAGGGCATGACCCCAATGACCTAAATGTCTCCCGCTAGGCTCCACCTCCTAAAGTTCCATTGCCTCTCAATAGTGCCCGGAGCTGGAGACTAAGCCTTTAATCGTGGGCCTTTAGGGAGCATTCGGTCTCCAAACTGTAGCATTAGGTGAACAAATAATAGACGGGGCAAAGTGGTGCAATGGAAGTCTTTCTAGAAGAGCTTCAGGGATGAGGAGGGGAAGTTGATTCTAGGGAACTGGAGAAGCTGCATTGAGGAGATGGAATCTGAGAGAGGCCTTGAGAGCAAGTCGGGTGGTGTGCAGAAGTGGTGGTGTGGGAGCAGCTGTTGGTGGAAGAAGAGTTGATTTAAAAGCATCGACGGCTTAGAAGGAAATCCTTGGTTCCCACTCCGACCAGCGACTGGGTGATGGGAGGAGGCTGGTGTAGGACAGTGGAGGACCTCAGAAGCCACAGGAAGGCGTTTGGAATACAGGCAAGACATGATCAGACTTGTGCCCCAGGAAGAGCTCCGCGGAGCCTTTGAGGGGAGGAGGGGCTGCAGGAAGGCTGAAACTTGGCAGCCGAAACGCTGTTTGGGAGGGTTTTGCAACAATCTTGGTGAGAGATAATGACTCGATTAAAGTAGAAGGGTTCTCTCTAGAAAGATCTCTGAGATGAGATGGGCAGTTTGGGTGACCGCTTAGATGTGCTGAAAGACGGAAGGGGAGACATCAAAAATGATTCTGAGGTTTTCACGTTCATTTGGGTGGAAATGGGGCAGAGGCACAAGTCTGGTCCTGTCTGGCCCTGGGTTCCAAAGTTCTCCGAGGCCAAACGCCTTCCTGTGGCTTCTCAGGTCCTGTCCCTTCTGAGATAGGGTCAGATGGCCTTGCTCCTACAAGGGGAAGGGAGACAGATTTGCTATGGTTGATGCAGACGTCAGAGGGGATGGGAGCCACCCCGGACAAGGCTTGGGTCTAATGCAGGGCTGAGGTGACCCATTCTAAGAGCCCTCACCAGGATACCTGCTGGCCTCACACTGAGCTTCCCGGATGTCATGGATTTCTAGGCCACGAAAGGAACGGACTTCTGTGATGCTTCAGCTTCTCCAAGTACATGACTAATACTTGAAAGAATTATTAAGAGACTTCTTTATTTTTAATTGCGCCTACTTGTTGGGTCTGTGACCCAATTAATTCCTTCTTGCTGGGAAAGTTTTCAGAGACCCTGTACCCTCTTGACCTCTCCTAATCATTATCACTGTCGTCCTCCTTTGAAGTGCTGTTTTGATTGCACACTTAAAAGGAGCTGCCTGAAACACCCTCTCGTGTCGGTGTGGCTGGCATGCCCACTGCTTGGGCTCAAGGACCTTGTCTGAGAGTGGCTCTTGCCTCCAGAAGTTCACCTGGCCCGCGCCTCCCTTTCACCCTGCCTTCCCCACAACCCCACCCCTTGCGTTTGAGTCCCTCATCCTACCTTAATAAGACCAGCTCTTCTCCCCGAGGCCCAGAGAGCGAGTTTTAACAAACACAGATCAGTCAACAAGTGCGTGTTATCAGTGTGGGGCTTGCTGGCAGGAGCCTCCCGGCAAACAGAATTGCAGAGTCTCCAAACACAGGTCCCTATTTGGTGACGCCATCTGGCAAATCTTCATTCAAATGAAAATCGATCCAGTTACCCAAATACAGGTGGAAGAGTGTGTTTGGGAAGCAGTTTTAGCCAAATTGTGTGAAGTAAAGTGCTTTTTCCTGCCGTTGCCTCTGACCAGTGGTCTAAGCATTTCCGTCGCTTGGGTCTTATGAAAAGTTCTTCCCACCGGAGAAAATCAGCCAGCTAATTAGCACCACGTAGTGGTGTTGGGTTCTGTGATGTGGTTCTGTGCTTTGAGATTCACAATAACGGAGGTAAAGGACAAGACACTAACTCAAAGCGTCTTCAAAGGAGGCCCGGATGAGTGTCCCCTTGGACATGTCCCCTTACCTCTTGTTGGCACTGCCTCCTGTCTCCTTAGGTCACTGCAAAAGGGATGTTTGTAAATCAGTTCATTGAGAAGTATGGACAGGAAAATGGGAGGTAATCCTGCAGATGGTAAGGAAAAAAGGAAAACTTTTAGTATTTTTTAAAATTTTTTTTTAGTTATACATGGGCACAATATCTTTATTTTGTTTTTATTTTTATGTAGTGCTGAGGATTGAATCTAGTGCCTCACATATGTGAGGCAAGCACTCTGTCACTGGGCCACAACCCCAGCCCAAGAAAAACTTTTTAAAATGGGAAGTTTTCATGTCCACTTATCCATGGCTGTGAGTCACGTGCAGGTCACTCACCAGTTTCCTAAACACTGGAGACTATTCTAGAAACCACAGTTGTGCACTCTTGCACGAGGGAGTCTTGGGTGGAGCAGTACGTGGTGACCATCCCTGAATCTGCTTAAAACAAGTTCCTGGCTAAGAATTTTTCCCAACCCAGTACGTACGTAGGACAAAACTTTCTCCGTAAAGGGCAGTATGAGATGGGACTTTTGATATTTGCACTGGAATCTGAGATTTAGAAGACTTTATTTAGTATCTTGAGGCAACAGTTTACATTTCTAAGATTTTAGCATGCAGTTCAACCATTCATTCAGAAAGTATTTATCGAGTGCCTATGGTATACTGGGCACAATGCTGTCAATCACTTGGAGATTGGGTCAGCTAAAGACTTGGGAGTTGTAATCCACTGGCCGCCACCTCACCTTTCACAAGTGGCCTCCTCAGAGACAGGAAATGAGCATGAGGACCAGCTGTGGGTCTCGTGTACAGTCACGAACCGCATCCACTGGGAGAAGGCCTCTGCCATAGCCCTCAGGGTTGACCAAAATGAAGTTCCTCCCTGCTGCCCTGTCCCTTGCTCATGACTCTTTATTCTCTTCACCAGAAACAGAAAAGATAGTCCTGGAGGCGGGAAACGGATTGCCATCCTGGAAGTTCAACGACCAGCTTTTCCCCTGCGACGTGTGTGGGAAAGTGTTTGGCCGACAGCAGACCCTGTCCCGACACCTCTCGCTGCACACAGGTGAGCGGCACCTCCCTGCCACGTCCTCCTGACTGTCACCAACCTCTGAGAGAAGTCGAGTTCCCCTGAGAGAAATGGTTCAGGAAGTGGAGGAAAGGTGTCCACCCCGACCTCCGGGGCCTCATACCCGGCATGTTGAAGCAAGACCCAGGAAGGCTTTTCTGTTTGTCCTGGGAAGTTCACTGAGCTCCAGGGAGGACCGAGGAGGAGACACACACATTTGCGCATGCCAGGGGACAATGCTGAGCTCTGCAGCAGGTGGACCGTCTCCTCTCAAAGGTGCTGGGGAAGAAGAGGCCTCACCCCGTCCTAGGGGTTTCGTCTCATGGTGGAACAGTGGCGAAGGGGCCACCTTGGTCTTTTCAGTTTCCTGAACATTGGAGACTATTCTAGAAACCATAGTGTGCACTCTTGCACGAGGGAGTCTTGGGTGGAGCAGTACATGGTGGCCATCACTGAGTCTGCTTAAAACAAGTTCCTTAAAACAAGCCCTCATTTACATTTTTTTTTTCACTAAAAATATAACTATTTTTTTTCTTTTTTTTAATTTATTTTTTTTATTATTAGTTGTTCAAAACATTACAAAGCTCTTGACATATCATATTTCATACATTTGATTCAAGCAGATTATGAACTCCCATTTTTACCCCGTATATATATTGCAGATTCACATCGGTTCCACATCCACTTTTTTACATACTGCCAGACTAGCATCTGTTGTATTCTGCTGCCCTTCCTATCCTCTACTATCCCCCCTCCCCTCCCCTCCCCTCCCATCTTCTCTCTCTACCCCATCTACTGTAATTCATTTCTCTCTCTCATTATTTTTCCCCCTTTCCCCTCACTTCCTCTTATATGCAATTTTGTATAACAATGAGGGTCTCCTTCCTTTACCATGCAATTTCCCCTCTCTCTCTCTTTCCCTCTCCCCTCTCGACCCTGTTTAATGGTGGTCTTCTTCTCATGTTCTTCCAACCTCATTTACATTTAACAGTAGACAAATAATGGGTGATTCTAAGAATGGGGGAAAGGAGCCAAATTCACAAGGAGTAAAACAGGAATAAACAATAACATAACCAGTAAAAAAATAAGTGAAGACATAATTTCACTCTTTATTCATTCACCAGGCACCTGGGCTGATTCCATAACTTGGCTGTTGTATAGTGGTCTGCTATAAACATTAGTGGGCATGTCTCACTATAGTGTGCTGATTTTAGTTCCTTTGTTTTGTTTCTATACCAGGGATTGAACCCAGAGGTGCTTAACCACTGAGGCACATCCCCATTCCTTTTTATATTTTATATAGTGACAGGGTCTCACTGAGTTGCTGAGGCTGGCTTTGAACTTGCAGTCCTCCTGCCTCAGCCTCCCAAGCTACTGGGATTACAGGCCAATAATAGGAAGGAGATGACCATGAAAGAGACAACTTCACTTAAGTTTCATTAAGAAAAGCAAAGGAAGAAAATGTGTCCAAAAGTAGGAAAGAAAGAGCTCCAAAAATTCTCTCAGATGAGTTCTTTCTCACCTTTTGAGAATCAGAAATTCCAAGGTTATTAAATCCTTCCCAAGTGACAGGAAAAAGAGAGAAAGCTCGCAGTTCAGTTTAGGGAGAAAGTGTAACCTTAACACATAGCAAAGCTCAACAGCCTCACTGACTTACACAAATGCAAAGATTCTAAAGGACTCTGTGTAATAACCTGTGCTGTAGGACTCCCCCACCCACACTCCCCTGCAGCACCCTTCAGATGCTGGGGACCACCTGTGATAACGGTGATGCTTAGTGTGGTGTAGAAACACCTTCTTTTCCAGGTTCTTCCTGTGATGTAAACAAGACAGGTATTTTCTTCTACCCAAGCTCAGAAATACCAAGTCAAATGAGGGATGGAAAGGGAGGCTGTGCTGTGGTTCTTCACTGCCTCTGTCTGTACAATGAAAGCAAAGCCCTGCTCCTTGTACGTTAATTTGCTTGATTAACCAAATGAATTCAGAATGCCACTCTGGAAATAATCCTGAAACATTAGTCAGTTTTATGAGAATTTCCATTAAGAAATTAATTGAAATTTTTTATTTTATTTATGTTAAATGAAAATGTCCAATTAAATTATTATTTTATACAAGTCATTTTTTTTTTTTAACTTTAATTTCATTAGTTGTTATTTCATGTTTGACCCAGGCCAGGAGCTTAGGGAAAACGATGGGCCTCTCTTACTCTCCAGAGCTGTGAATGTTGATTTTGTTCTGCTGCCGGGCTCCGCACCCCACACTGACACATAGGAGCACAAGCGCGCGCGCACACACACACACGGTACCCTTTAGCCCCTGTGGGGCTCACCTTGTCAGGAAGAACTCCAGGGAAGTGTCCCAGGAGGCATATGTGCTATCCCCAGGTTGTGTGGCCCATCAGCCCTGCAGTGTTACGTTTGGCTTCCATATTCAGCGTTGCGTCTGTATTTGGTTAGTCGCTACAAAACCCCGAGTTTCAGGCTTACTCAGAGGTATGGCCCTAGGAGCCCCTCTTTTATCTTTGGGAGGATTAATACAGGCACAAACTGCTGGGTGCTTGAGACACTTGCTATTCCAAGGTGTGACCTTTGTCCTCGTTTGACCTTTGTCCTCTCCTTGGTGCACTTCAGTGATCTCTTGCCAGGGGTCGAGATTTCATTTTTTGAGAGCAGTTTGGGTTTATTTCTGTTTGTTCTCCCCCCCCCAGAGGAAAGAAAATACAAATGCCACTTGTGCCCCTATGCTGCTAAGTGCCGTGCGAATCTGAACCAGCACTTGACTGTCCATTCTGTGAAGCTGGTGAGTACAGACACCGAGGACATTGTCAGCGCCGTCACCTCTGAAGGCAGTGACGGGAAGAAACACCCTTATTATTACAGGTGAGTTGAGGACGAGCACACTAGTGGGACCTCCCAGACCCCTTGTTTTCAGGCTCTCAGCCAGTCTTCCCCGGGGCCTGTGTCACCAAGGCCCTTGTCTCAATCACATGCACATCTTCATTTGAATACGTTCTTTGCTTAGCTCCAACCCTGTGTGGCAGGGACTCCTCTGCAGTTTGGCCTAGTTGAGTTAATTGAAAGAGAAGGGGTCTTGGAAGACCTCTGTGGAACGGAGCTCCAGAGAGTGGCAGGGCTCTGGGATGATCGGCTCTTGGGTCTGTGTGGTCCCAAACTTTGTAACCGAGCCCCTTGCTGCCGCCTAAGAATTGCAGGAAAAAAAGATGAGGAAAAATAAATCTGAGAACCCCGAGGACAAAATAGCTCAGAAGACATCACATATTGTCCCTTGGTTATGTGCCCTTTAGTCCCAGCAATGTCACTCTGCTTCCATAGTCCAAGGTGAATCAATATTTGGTTCAGTCACCATAAAAGCCCAGGTATCAGGCTCGTACCAAATGTTGCCCCGAGATATCGTTGGACACTTGCTTTGGCAAGGCGTTTCTGAGGCAGGGTGGCTTCTATCAGGAGTAATCACGGACAGGACTGCCCGAGGTTTCGCGTGCCACAGGACAACCTGTGTGTGCTTTCCTTGCTGCGCAGGAAGGTTTCCAGAGCCAGAGAGAGGCTCCGGGGTGTGCAGCACACTCCAATTTTATCGGTGGACCAGCACCACTAAATACCTTGGCTGCACCGCCCCACATCTCTTTGCCCAAAGGAATCAGTTAGGCGATGTGCAGCATCTGGAAGCTGTAGTTTTTAATTAACTTTATGATTATTTAACATCATCATAGCGTGTATGGGATTGTTACATTATGCTGGCACCTAATCCGTTTGGCACAGTGACCACTTCAGAGGCATCCCAGGAAGCAGAAGAATTTTCTAACATGATACCTTTCGGTGGAGAGAAAATGTTTTTGTGAAACTAGTTTTTGTGTGCACACTACATGCACACACTACACGCACACACGCAGCACACATAGGAAACGTGTCTCACTCTCCCTCTTTCCTTTTGTCCTTTCATGTAGCTGCCACGTGTGTGGATTTGAGACTGAGCTCAATGTCCAGTTTGTCAGCCACATGTCACTCCACGTGGACAAGGAGCAGTGGATGTTTTCCATCTGCTGCACCGCCTGCGACTTTGTCACCATGGAGGAAGCGGAGATCAAGGCTCACATTGGCACCAAGCACACAGGTGACCACTCCTGTCAGTCCTTCTCCCCCTTCTGCATCCCTTGCACCCCAGACTGCCTGCCACATGGCAGAAGCATCCTTGCTGCCCCGAGACCTTGGCATTTCCTTCCATAGAAAGTTAGTCACTACAAAGTTTCAGGCTGTCCGTCCATAGAAGGAAGGACTTTTCCAGAACATCTGGGCCACATTGCCCCGCAGTCACAACGTCATTGCCTGGCTCGGCCTGGGCCTCACTGATCTGGAAGATGCCCGGGTTTGGATGCTTTTTGAGAGGTGTGAGCCGAGTCCTTGTACCGTGTCTTCTTGCTCATTGTCATACATAGCGGTCATTGAGGTCTTTCCTTGCCCCAGGCTTGTGCCTTTGCACACTGGATGCCATTTGAACCTCTTAGCAATGCTCTGAGGTGAACATTATTGTTACCGCAAATGCAGAAGGAAGAACTGAGGCTTTACGGAATTCCGTCCAAGGCCAGCAACCTGGACGTGACTTGAGCAACTCAGCCCAGGACAGTTTTCCTTCCACAGCCTGCTTTGTCCCACAAAACACCTGGCAGAGCTTTTATTAAACCTTTCTGTTTCTCTGTGCCAGGGCACTGAGCACCTAACTCTGCAGGCTCCATTCCCTTCCAGAGAACTCATAGCCCTGACACTGTCCATAGTGACATATGGCACCTCTGTTCAAGGGCAAAGATAACCAGAGTCTCCTGAAACAAACCTAACAAGACTTGGCCGGCACTCGCCTCTCACTGGAGCCTCTTGCCATTCTGGTTAACTTCTTCCATTTAATGATGTTAACATTTTGACTTCACCGTGCAATTAGACTCTCACAAGTGATGGTTACAAATGACACCAGTGTGGAGTCATTAAGTGAGAATGAGGAAGACCTCCCCCCGCAACCCCATATTTGTGGTGCTTAGGAATTAAAAGCTGATGCTGCTAACTGCCAGCCCCGGGTGTTGGGTCAGCCCCTTACATCACCGGCTGCTGGAGGATTCCGGAAGGGGAAGTTCCCTGACAGTTGTGCTGACAATGAGCATGGCCGATAAGGAGTTCTCTGTGCTTCTTTGGCTGCTTTGGCTCAGTGGTGCCAACAGCAATAAAAGCTTGTTTTTGTCAGTAAACTGAGCAGCTATGACTTGGAGGTCTGCAGAGAGTCATTATGCTGAGTGAAAAGGTGCCATTTTTACAGTCGGCTGTCTGACCATAACCACATTAGCACCACGGGCAGCAGGTGAGCTGGGAAACCCACGTTGAAGACAAATTAAATTCAGAGTTTCTGGAGTGGCTCATGGAGGGAAAGGCCAGCCTCCTTCTCATCTCCACTGGCTTCAAAGAGACTCTTTTTTCTGTGAAACCTTCCTTCTTCAACCCTCTTTACCCCAACATATGCCTTGGTCTCCATCCCGGAATGCTCTGCAGCCCTCTCCACCCTCCCCCCCACCCCACCTCAGAGAAACTTAGTGGCTGGAAGAGGTGGGCTTAGCATCACTTATTATTGATGGAAACCTCACATTGTTGACTGGCCAAAGCAAGCACGCTCACCTCCTAATTACCAGAAGGCACAGAGGGCAGATCCTGTTCCCTCTGGAGTGGCGCAGCTCCAGCTGGGGACAGTATTCTTACTTGTTAATACAGAGAGCCAAGACCAAAATTCCTTAAAGAAGTCTCTTTTGTTATTTACCAAAAGCTTTTAATGCTGCTACTATTAGAATAAGATTAGAATGTACTTTTTTATTTATATATGACAGCGGAATGCATTTCAATTCTTATTACACACATAGAGCACAGTTTTTCATTTCTCTGGTTGTATACAACATATATTCACACCAATTCATGTCTTTATACCTGCACTTTGGATAATAATGATCATCACATTCCACCATCATTTCTAATCCCGTGCCCCCCCCTTTCCCTCCCACCCCCCTGCCTTATCTAGAGTTCATCTATTTCTCCCATGCTCCCGCTCCCTATCCCACTACGAATCAGCCTCCTTATATCAGAGAAAACATTCGGCATTTGGTTTTTTGGGATTGGCTAACTTCACTTGGCATTATCTTCTCTAACTCCATCCATTTACCTGCAAATGCCATGCTTTTATTCTCTTTTACTGTTGAGTAATATTCCATTGTGTATATATGCCACATTGTTTTTTATCCATTCATCTATTGAAGGGCATCTAGGTTGATTCCACAGTTTAGCTAGGTTGATTCCACAGTTTAGTTAAAAACTGATTAAAAATCAGTCCTTTGGGCATAGACCTAGGAGAGGGACAGCTGGGTCAAACGGTGTTTCCATTCCCAATTTTCCAAGAAATCTCCATACTGCTTTCCATATTGGCTGCACCAGTTTGCAGTCCCGCCAGCAATGTATGAGTGTGCCTTTTTCCCCATCTTTTCATGAGAAACTTTTTCTCATCTAAGTTTTTGTTTGTATTCTTAATAGCTGTCATTCTGACTGGAGTGAGATGAAATCTTAGAGTGGTTTTGATTTTCATTTCTCTAATTGCTAGCGATGATGAACATTTTTTTATATATTTGTTGATTGATTGTATATTGTCTTCTGAGAAGTGTCTGTTCAGGTCCTTGGCCCATTTATTGTTTGGGTTATTTGTTTTGTTAGTATTCAACTTTTTGAGCTCTTTATTAGAATGTATTTTTTAAGCCAGTGCTTTGCAAACCTTTTGCAAGGCCAGATAGCAAATATTTTAGGCTCTCAGGTCATGCAGTTTCTGCCATTACAATTCAATTCTGCCACTAGAACTTGGAAGTTATCATAGACAGTACACAAATGAATGGCCGTGTTCCAATAAAACTTTATGTACAAGAACAGGAAGTCCATTAAAGCCAAGAAGCTATGGTTTGCCAATGCCTTCTATAAGCTAACAGTTTCACAATGAGCATTTCCTATATTTAGTGCTGTTTTGAGGTGTCTGAACTTGACCCAAAATCTATCCATCTAAATCTGTTCATGAATGAGCTGTATTATTGTGAAGTTATTATGAAAGCAATAGTTGTGCTATATGACATTTATTATAATATATAGTCTTAGAATAGGGAGCTTGTCTAAGTCACTGCCCAAAACAATCCCTACACAGTGTGAGGAGTAACTGTTCACTTGATGAATGGACATATGTGCACAAATTCCTCTGTTCACATCTTGCATCTTGCATCATGAGTGGGAAGAACATTCAGACTTGGCCCTTGATCAAACCTTAGAGCTCAGTTGACTTACAAATGCAATCTATGCAGAAGTTACTTGTTGTGGAGGAAAATACAAGTGTGATTCTAAATCTGGGTTCTAGGTCCAGGTTCTGTAAAATAGCTTCTAGCCTAGGAACATGGTCTAGGATTTAATGCTGTCATTTAAAATGATTAATTTATGAATGCTTTCACAAAATTTTTTGGAAGCCAACTATGTACCAAATATGTAAAACAGCAGGGGAAATCACGTGTGTGTATATATATATATATACATATATATATGAAGAACCATGTCTAGCCAAAGAATTATATATATGTTCATGAAGAAATATATAATTTAATTCTCAAACAACCATAGAAAGCAAGTGCTTATATAACCCATTTACAGACATAATAATTGAGTCATAAAATAAAGTATCTTATCCAAACTCATCAGCTATTAATTGATGAGGGGTACAGGTGGTATTCAAACTCAGGAATTCTGAGTTCCTATTGCTTTCTTGGACAGAAAGTGGGTGGGCAGGCAGTACTGGGGATTGAACCCAGGACCTCACATGTACTAGGTAAGTGATGCACCATTAAGCTCCATCCCCAACCCCTTTTTACTTAGAGACAGAGCCTCACCAAGTTGCCCAGGGATTGATTATAGGCATGTACTGCTGCACCTGGCTTAAGATCCTTATTCTTAACCACTATACAATGAATGACAAAAATTTAAAAACAGATGTTTATCTTTGTAAGACTGAAAAGAAGTTCACCAAAATACAATAGTGCTTATGTTGAGGCAATAAGATAACTGGCAACTTCTTGGCCACAATTTCTCAATTTGTTTTGTTTTAAATCGTGAAACATGTAGTTGTTGTTTTTTTTTTTTCCTTAAAAATTCCCTACAGAGGGTTACCCTAATGTGTGAGAGTGCACAAGTGTCGTTCACCAAGAATATTTATGATGCCAATGGTAAATGACCACTTCCATCACAGTTAGCTTTGGGTTTAGGTGGCAAGGGCACCCTGGCCTACTCCCTGTAGACATTGCAATAGGAGAGGAGGATTGAAAGCAGGGGAGGCTGTTTGGACCAGAGATCGAGAGAGCTGGGCTGTATTCCCATTTAGTCTCAGAGAGTGGCTGACATAGCACCTTGTATCTTTATAAATTTACCAATTTATGTAGCTCTGCCCATTGCCTTAAGCCTCAGGATATTTGAATTGAATTTTAAAGATAGTAATTGAAAATAATATGTTTCAAGTCTGAAAACATTTTTTAATAAGTATTAAATAGACTGTCAGTAAGACCAGGCTTAGAACATAGATTTGGAGAAGTAATGTCAAGGATTTGAGGCCTTCACTGAAAATGTTCTATTTGTCTATAGAATGTGAATTAGTTGATTAAACATACAGATAAAGGACTGGCATTTATGGCACTAGTTATAATACTCTCGGATGCCAGGAATTGGACCCAGGGTCTTGCACCTGTTAGGCACGTGCTCCACCACATAGTTTCCTTGTTCCAAGGGAAGACTGCATATTTTGAAGGCACATACCATCCCTTCACATAGTCACATACTCTCTGTCCAGAAGCCATGTTCAGTTCTGATAGAAACAAGATTTTAAACATTATGAACTGAAGTGAGAATTGTCTACCCTAGACCTAAGTGCATTCTCACAGAAGTAGGATTTGAAAACATTCTAAGTGATTTTTTTTTTTTCCTTTTTACCCCTCTCTCTCTTTCTCTCTGGACTTTTGTTTTGTTATTTTTGTTTGTTTTATTTTTTTGCTGGGGATGAATCCCATAACCTTGGGCATGCTGAGCACACACTCTACCACGGAACAGTGCCCTCAGCTCTTCTTTCTTTTTAAAAACTTTCTTCAACTGAACAAGTAATATATGGTCATGCTAGAAAATTTTGAAGTTCAAATAATAAAAAAACAAGCATTATGCTAACAATATTAAATCCTGCTCATCGTGACAGCATTATTTCTAGACTTTCATGCCTATATGTAGTATATTATTTATTTCTAATGTCCTAATAAAGGAAGTTCTCAGGGTTTATAATCAATAAGTTGCTTAACTAACTAATTTGAAGGGAACCAAAGAACAGTTTTCCGGTGTTTTCTACCCTAATTTAAATTCTGGAGTTGTATCCAATCTGTTCATCAGTTTGGGGAGCACTGACATCTTAACAACTTTCCTGAATCAGAAACAGTGGATAACTCTCCAGTTACGTGGGGCTTATAAAGTACATTGTTAATTTACTACAGTATAACTTTAAGTGATTATACCACTTCCTACATAGTATAAGAAACTTAAAATAGTGTACTTCCATTTCTCCCTGCCCAGCCTTTATTATTGTCAAATATTTATATGCATGTGTTTTATATGCATGTGTTTATGTGCACCTGACGATGCACTGCTGTTATTTTTGTTTCAACAAAATTACTTTTATTATCTCTGAAAATATTTCAATACTAAGAAGGAAACATAAATTTACCTGTGTACTTATCGTTTCCAGGAGTCTTCATTCTGTTATGTAACCCATTTTTGCATTTGGTCTCATTTTCCTTCTGCCTCAAGGGCCCCTTTTAACGTTTCTCATAATATGAGTCTGCTGGCGACGAACTCTTTCATCTTTTTTAATGTCAACCTTTTTTGGTGTTTTTGCCGTCACTTTTGAAACATATTTTCATTCAGCTTTGTTCTTCTGAATATAACATGTTTGGGTTTTGTGTTTGTTTTTTTTTTTTTTTCCTTTTCCCCCCTCTGTCTACTCTTAGGACTTTTTTCTTAACCACTTGGATTCACAATTTAATGATAATGTTCTTTGGTATGGATTTCTTCATGTATCTTAGGCTTGAGGTTAATTGATCTTCTTGGATCTAGGAGTTTGTGATTTTCCTCAAATTTGGAAAAATTTTGTTCATTTCAGATATTTTTTTATACCCTACTCAAGTAGCCCCTCAGGACTTACACTAAGGTGCCTGAAGTCTCATCATTTACTGGTGCTCATTTCATTTTGGGCAATTCTTTTTCTGTTTCATTTCAGAGAGTTTCTATGGCTGTTAGCCTTCAGGTTCACTAACCTTTTCTTCTGCCATGTCTTAATCTGCTATAATCTCATCAATATATGGTTCTACTTCTGACCTTGGAGTTTCCATCTGTAGAATTTGACTTGTTCATATCATCCGTGTCTCTGCTTAACATTTTAATATATGAGATATATTTATAATGTTCTGGTCTATAAATTCTAATGGCGCCAGTTCTAGGTTAGTTTTAGTTGGTTGATTCTTCTCCCCATTTTGGGTTGTGTTTCTTCACATGCCTGATAATCTTTGTTTAGATACCAGACATCATGGTTTTACATATTGGTATTCAATATTTTCTGTACTCCTATAAGTATTATTGACCTTTGTTGTAGGACACAGATAATTATTGGAAACTTTGATCCTCTTGAGTCTTACTTTTATGATTTGTTAGCAGGCCTGGATCATAAGGCATTGATCTCTCCAGGGCTAATTATTACCCACTACTAAGAGACCTTGCTCAGTTTTCTGCCTAATGCCCTGTGAATTATGTGTTTTTCTGATCTGGCTGATGCAGACAGCTGTTTCCAGCCCTGTGTGGGTGCAAATACCAGGCACTAAGCTCAAGTGGCGTTTTTCTGGTCTTGGGCAGCTTCCTTGCACACAGCTTCGACCCATGCTGTGCTAAAGACTCAAAGGGCACCCTCTGCAGGTCTCAGGTTCCTCCTCTGTGAACTCTGATGCCCTGTCTGGCAATGGCTATTCATGAGGATCTCTCCAGTCACTCAGCTCTGCCTCCTGCATCTGGGACCTGTCTTCTCCTCCCTGATGCACTGCAGCCTGGGACAAAGCTCAGGGCAGGAGGCTGAGCAGTCCCAGTCCTCACCCATCCTGTCGTGGTCTCTCAGGGGCCATTATGCTTCATCACCTCATGTCCAGTGTTGTAAAAACTATTGTTTGATGCATTTTGTCTGCACTTTCTTTTTTCTTAGTTGTTTCATAGCAATGTTAGGTCCGGTTCCTGATATTCCAAAATGAGTAGCAACTGCAGTCTCCCGACACAGACTTTAATGGCCTATTTGACTTGTTTATGCCTGGCTTTGAGGAGGAGCCCGGGGCACTGAGGAACATGGACACTGGAGGCAGACCAACTCAAACTCCTCCACCACTTAGTGGCCACATGACCTAGGCCAGGTTTACCCCTGTGCCTCCATCCCCTCATCGGCAAAATGGCAATAGTTGTGCTGATAGAATTTTTGTTCTTTTGTTTGTTTGAACCCAGGGCCTCATGCATGCTAAATGCATGCTCTGCCACTGAGATATTCTCCCAGGCCTGGGGATTTTTTTTTTTTTTTTTTTTTGAGGGGGAGTACGGGGGGGGGGGTGGATTGAACTCAGGAACACTTAACTACTAAGCTGCATCCCCAGCCCTTTTTTATATTTAGACAAAGGGTCTCGCTGAGTTGCTTAGGGCCTTGCTAAGTTACTGAGGCTGGCTTTGAACTCGCAATCCTCCTGCCTCAGCCTCCTGAGGTGCTGGGGTTGCAGGCATGCATTACTGCACCCAGCTTCCTAGGATTTTTTGAGAGGATAGAATGAGATAATGCATTTAAGGTGTAACAGTTTCTGGAACTTAGTACCATGTTCAGTACATCTTAGCCATTGTTATCATTAGATTCTAATTATTGTAAGACTCAATGAATATTTCTCAAATGCATGAATGCCTGCTCTTGGCTCTGAGAACCTTGCATGCCACCGCCACAGAAGCACTAGGAACTGGAACCCCAGTGAGTGCACTGGTGCGAGCTGGAAGCCTCAGCAGAGCCGTGGTGCATCCATGAGACCCGACTCCTCCACCCTCAGCCGCTGTCATTCCAAGGGTTTTCGTCTCCCAGGTTAACAGATCTGGGTTGTTTTCATATTTCAGGGGAAGACAGGAAGACCCCCAGCGAATCAAATAGTCCCTCTTCATCCTCCCTCTCAGCTCTGAGTGACTCAGCCAACAGCAAAGACGACTCAGATGGCTCCCAGAAGAACAAGAGCGGGAACAATCTGCTGGTCATCTCTGTCGTGCCTGGGAGCCAACCCTCGCTGAACAGTGAGGAAAAGCCAGAGAAAGGTGAGGGAGGAGGTGAACGTGGCCTGCTAAGCCCTGTCCAGTCCAGGATGACCCAGTCTTGAGAATGAGCCCTGGAGAGGAAAGAATTATTAGGCCCAGGATGCAGTACAGTGCGCAGAGAGCAGGCCCAGAATGCAGAAAATCGCATTTTATTTTGGCTCGGTTTGTTTCCAAATGCAAGGTGGGAAGACGGAGAGGCTGACGTTGACGCTGAGGCTGTGTGTTTTGTATAGAGATGCAGGGAACGGTACCTGGGAGGTGCATCTGTGGGGAGGCACCGGGTGGGTGATGGGGGGAACCTCAGCCCCACTCCTGCCTCCTACATGCGCCTCTACACCCAGCTTCGGTCCTTTCAGGGTTCGAATGCGTTTTTTGCAACTTTGTCTGCAAGACGAAGAACATGTTTGAGCGCCATTTGCAGATACACCTCATCACCCGGATGTTTGAGTGTGACGTGTGCCACAAGTTCATGAAGACCCCCGAACAGCTGCTGGAGCATAAGAAATGCCACACTGTCCCCACCGGTGGGCTCAAGTAAGGAAAGCAAGTACAGAACCTTTTACTGCGTTGTTACCAAACACCCTTTCCCTTGCCCTTCCCCTTCCCTGAAGGTTTTGGGGGTCATGGAGTGGGAGAGCTTGGTTTGAGGGAAGTTAGTCAGAAACCTCTGCTGCCTTTAGCTGGATTGAATTAGACCTTTCCCCCAGGGGGGTCAGCAGATGCCAGCAGGAGAATCCATTTCACAAATATCCCCAGATTCAGGGCAAGGAAGAAGATGTGCTGGACAAGCCCAGCTGCAAGGGTAGACCCATCCTGCACTGTCTGAGTCTCGTGCACACTTGATTTTAATGGATTCAGGGGTTAGTGTCCCTGGGTGTCAATCATTACACTGTCACTACAATGCACCAACTCTGATTTTCAAACGGCTTGCCATATATCTTTTAAATAAGCCTTATGACCATTCCACCCCACCCACAATTGGAACCTTGGCAGTTTGACCAGGCAGGAGATAACATTTTTCATACAAAGATCATGTGCTTCACGCCTTCCTACGAACCTACCAGTGCCTTCCCCGAAAGATCTAGACAAGGAGCATCATCTTTATCCAATATTTGCAAGAAGCCCTCCAGTCTCAAGTGAGACCAGTCAGTTATTACCAAACATACTGTGTGTCTGGCTTGACAATAGGTGCTAAAGGGCACACGAGGAATAAAATATAATTTCCACCCTCAGGAAGTGTATGTGCTAACACTCCCAGAATTTAATCTTCCCAGTGAGTCTGAGATCAGAGTCCCCGTCCACAAGGCCCTTATGGTACACTGAGAAGAGGGAAGCACTACGTAGTTGGGCACAGAAAGACAGTTGTCAAGGCAGAATTATTAAATATTAGCTGAAACGATCATGTAGTGAAAAGAATAGAAATGTATGTTTTACTTAATATGGGGAAAAATAAAACTTCCATTTGAAAAAAATTTTCATCATTGAGACTCAACTAACCAGAGAGGTGGCGTGCCTCCCTGTGTGGGTAAGGAATGGAGATCCCCAGAAAGGCCTTGGTAGTCTAGCACCAAGGGCAGTGCAGGGTTGACTCCCCTGAGCTCCTGCCTGGTCGGGGGCACCCTCCTCCAAAACCTGCCCAAATGGAAGAGGCAGCAGACAGCACCTACTGTCGGCTCCACTTTGGTTCACTCTTGGGGGCACTCGGGTGGGAGGGAGAGGGAGGGGGTGGGGAAGTGGGAAGGGTGGTTATAATTCACTCAACAAGTAGCTGGAAAATGCCTAGCAAGACCTTATTTGGGGACTTGATTTGGTTTGTTCCCACTGTCCCTTTATAAATAATTGGTATAAAAAGAAAGACGAACCCAGCTTTCTGTGGATGGACTAGTGACATTGCCTTCCCGGTAGCCCAGTGACGCCCATTACTTTGTGGCCTCGCCAGTTGTGGCTTTGCCAGTCGCCTTTCCTCAGGGGCCTAAGCAGTCCCGAGCCTCTGAACCCGTGGGGGAGAATGCACAATGAACCTGATGCATTTGCTGGGCCAGACACTTCCTGTGCGGTGCTAACCGTCCCCTGTGTGATAGTTTATGTTCTAGGATGACCAAGTAGAAGAATACTTTGAAAAAATTGATAATGCCTTCTGGCTATACAGTGAGTCTTTGTTTTGTTTTGTTTTGTTTCCTTCGCCATATCAGGGAATTAATTTGCCTGAGAGAGTGTCTTTAAGATAAACATTGGGAGCACGGAAAACCCTTAGCACTTTGCCTGAGCAGCAAGAGAAAGATTGAGCTGTGGGTCACAGAAATGTCCTTAACATGAAACAGACCGCCGACGTCTAAATTGCTTTTCTGTGATGGAACTGCTTGTACTCTATATCCTGTTCATAATGCAGATCAAATAAGATTATACTATTATTTTTCTTTTGCCGTAGCTCAGGACAGTGGTGAGTTTCAGACTCCTCTAGGTAAGGCCCAGCTTGGCGTAGGGGTTGTGTGTGCACCTGACCTGGGAATGGGCTTTATATTTCTCTCGTGTGCACTCTTCTGTGAGCTGAGGTTCAAGGCTAACGGCGAGCTTGGCGCTGAGGAGGCAGTGCACGGTGCACCTGGTTGTGTTGGGCTCTGCTGAACACCTCTCCAAACCCTCTGAGGACAGTCCACTCCCAGGCCCTGCCCTGCAGGAGCCATGCAAGAGTTGAGGCAGCCATTTGGGCATCTGCATTCTTTTTGGAAAGAGAGCAAACACGTTTCAGTTATCATTTCAGCCACCGACTCAAAACCCAGCAGTGTCCAGAAGAGAGGCCCCACAATTTTTGTAAACACGCCCCCACCACTCCTCGCAGCCCCTCTGGACAGCCGGGAGGGTTGGCGGCGGCCTGTCCGTGCTGCGAAGGATGGAGAACAGAGCCACAGAGAGGCCTTGTCCAGGGTCTCCAGTTAGAGCCCATAAGGTGATGGAGCCGGGACTCAAGCCCACCCCTCCGACTCCACCCCAGACACTTGTAGAGACCACTCATATAAGGGCTCAGCATGTCCCACGGGCTTTCCCCGTGCTGAGTGCTCTCCCTAGCACCATAGAGAATGCAGAAGAGACGTAAGAACTGCTCCTGCCCTCTGAGAATCGATGATCTGGCATAATAACGTACTGAGAGGTCTTCAAGTTCCAGAGCAGCCCCCCTCCTTCCTCCAGACCCCCCCGAATGGACGGCTGCTGGGAGGTCTCCGTCCCCCCGCAGCCCTGCACAGTCCTCTGCTTCCTTTCTGATGAGCTACAGGAGATACGTTCTATGTTTTCATATGTATGCACACACACACACACACAGGGACACACACAGGCCTTCTCATCCTAACAACCCTTTAATAAGCACGACTCTGACCCCTGTGACTTTCTTTTTGCTGGAAGTAGCTCTCCCCTAAAGCTGTTCTTTAAAACCTCTTAGCCTTTCTGCGTGTGCTTGGTGTGGTGCATGAAAAGTCGATTCTTTGTGTTGCTCCCATCTAGGGGGACGGTCAGGAGGTTTAGACCTCTGCCATGTCTGGTCGGGAGTGGGGAGGGCTCCCAGGGGCCGGGTGGGGGGCTGGAGGGAGCGCCAGCTTGTGTATTCCTCGCAGTTTCTCTGGTCCCCTCGTGAGGGCTGGCCTTGGCCCTTGCAGCCAGGAGACCCAGAACAGGCTGAGCGGACCTCGGCGGAGCTCCCCGCTAGCGCGGACTGCTCTGTCACCAGTGAAAGCCAAAAAGGGCCATCTCCACCCCTGAGAGGCGGCAGGGCTGGGCTGGGCTGGGGTGAGGGCAGGCTGATGAGGAGGGGAGAAGCCTGGCTGCCACCGGCCCCTTCCGGCTGACCCTCCCTTGCATTGCTTCCCCCCCGGCAGGTGCCCATTCTGCATTTATTCCACCAACCGCCCCGCTGCCATGGAGTGCCACCTCAAGACCCACTACAAGATGGAGTACAAGTGCCGGATCTGCCAGACGGTGAAGGCCAACCAGCTGGAGCTGGAGACGCACACCCGGGAGCATCGCCTGGGCAACCACTACAAGTGTGACCAGTGCGGCTACCTGTCCAAGACCGCCAACAAGCTCATCGAGCACGTGCGCGTCCACACCGGGGAGCGGCCCTTCCACTGTGACCAGTGCAGCTACAGCTGCAAGCGCAAGGACAATCTCAACCTGCACAAGAAGCTGAAGCACGCCCCTCGCCAGACCTTCAGCTGCGAAGAGTGCCTCTTCAAGACCACACACCCTTTCGTCTTCAGCCGCCACGTCAAGAAGCACCAGAGCGGGGACTGCCCCGAGGAGGACAAGAAGGGCCTGAGTCCAGCGCCCAAGGAACCGGCCAGCCCCGGGGCCCCGCTCCTGGTCGTGGGGAGCCCCCGGAACCTCCTGTCTCCCCTGTCGGTCATGTCGGCCTCCCAGGCTCTGCAGACCGTGGCCCTGACGGCCGCCCACGGCAGCAGCTCAGAGCCCAACCTGGCACTCAAGGCTCTGGCCTTCAACGGCTCCCCTCTGCGCTTTGACAAGTACCGGAACTCGGACTTTGCCCATCTCATTCCCTTGACCATGTTGTACCCCAAGAACCACTTGGATCTCACATTCCACCCTCCCCGACCTCAGACTGCGCCTCCCAGCATCCCCTCCCCCAAACACTCCTTCCTCGCCTATCTCGGACTAAGAGAAAGAGCAGAGACTGTCTGAGGGCAGCCGCGCTCTGTACCAAAAACAGACAGAGACAGGAAACAAAACAAACAAACAAAAACCCACAAAACTTAAACACAACCCCAGCAGGTGTATGTTGCTGCAAAACCTACAGACCCCAGGGGTCTGAACCACGTGTACTGTATATCTTTAGTAAGGAATAGAGAATTGGCTGTGTGTGTATACCTATCGCATTACCTACAAGCTGCTTTCCCCAACCTTCAGAGAGGTGACCCCTGCATACTTCTACCTTCAGAGGCATGCCTCCCCAGCCACCTGCCCCCACTCCAGCCCTTCCGTACTTCTCTCCGAACGGAATTTTGTCTCGTTAAACCCTCAAGAGAGTGTCCTTAATAGCAATCAGCACTTGTAAGCTTCTATACCGGTGCATTTGGTTTTCTGTTGGGTGAATGGGCTGTGTGGGCGTTTGTGGATTCCAAAAAGCAAGCCGTGTGTCGCGTGCCATGACTTCTCTGTTGCACATTCTCTGTACTGGCTTCTTGAACGGGGATGAACGTCCTTCTCCCTCCCGGGCTGTTCATCCACTACAGTTTCTCCCTGAGTTCCTTCATCACCTTTCCCTCTCTATTTTCCAGCTACAGAGTGGTAGGGCCTGGTGCTCAGTGGATGAAGGGATGGCAGGCATCTGCAGTGCTGCTGGACATTTCCCACAGAGTGCTGGACACCTCGAGCTCAGATCTTCTCTGGTTATGAAGATGCGAGACATCAAGCGACTGGTCTGCAAGAAATATCTTGCAGCACTGCAGCTGGCATCACAAAACTTAAGTGTCGTTGTGCTCGCCCGTGCGGAAGCAGTGTGCATGGAGCGCGCACACAGCGCATCCTTTTTTTAAGGGCAGATTAAATATATATATATATGATGTATTAATTCAGTGGTTACCATTTGTTTGCAGAAAAAAAAAAATTGTATGAGTGGAAAACTTTATGGTTGATAAATCCAGCCAAGGAGATTAAAAGGGGTTTGGATAAATTCTGGGTATAAATGCTCAGACTAAAAAAAAAAAAAAAAAAAAAAAAAAAAAAAAAAATGAAGCGGCAGTTTTGCACAGTGCTTTTGGCCTTGCACTAGTTTTTGTTTCTCATGGGGGAAAAAAAAAGATAAAAGGAAGAAAATGTACCTTTTTTACGGAATGAGTAGACTGTATGTTTGAAAATTTAGCCACAACCTCTTTGACACATAATGACACAACAAAAAGGTGCTGTTGAGTCCTTGAGTTTAGTTATGCCCCTGAGAAGTTTCCATTGTGTCTGCAGATCCTCTGGCTGTAGCCATGTCCTCCGTGTGATTATAACTCTGTATTCCATTTTGTTAACGCCTGGTAGATGTAACCTGCTAGGAGACTAACTTTATACTTATTTAAAGCTCTTATTTTGTGGTCATTAAAATGGCAATTTATGTGCAGCACTTTATTGCAGCAGGAAGCAGGTGTGGATCGGTTTCACAGCCCTTGGCTCATCTTAAAAAATAATGGATGGCTTAAAAAGAAAAAAAAAAGAATGGAAAAAAATCTTTGGCTGAATATATTCATTGCTTGGGTTTTTAAGACAACAGAATTTCCAGTATAAAATAGGCTAAAAGAGCAGGAAGAAACGTGCTTTGTATAGTAATGGGAAATTTGGAATATAAAAGTTTATGTATTATTTATCTATGGAAGAGCTGGTGTACAGGAGGAACGCTTTCTTACTGTGTTGCTGTTTTCCCAATGTGTGTTATCCTAAAGTTGGGATTCTTCTTTTTTTCATCTGTTTCACCAGGGCAAAATAAATGCATCCCTGATTTTCTTCCTCTAGTCAGTTCCTTCTCTAAAAAGCCCCTTGGAAGTTAGTGCAGTTCTCCAGGAAGCCAGAAGACTATATGTCTGTCCACACCACGGTCTCCCCCTCGCCCCTCTGCACCAACCCTCCTGCCCCCAGCCCTATCAGGTGCACTACCCTTCCCTTCACCAGTCACCCAGCCCTGGATGGGGAGCCTGCTCTGTGCCCTGGCAAACCTGTTTACACTACGGAGATGTCCACGGGGGCAGGGAGGCCCGACCAGCTAGGGCAGGAAGCTCCCAAACCCTCAGTCATTCTCCAGCAGAGACCTTTTGCCCTTGGCCTTGTTTGAAACGTTCAACTCGCCATCTCAATGTCTCAGTAAAAGACACTATAGACAGTTATGGACAATATACTCCAAGAATACTGGGCTGGGGGGGGGGGGCTGTTTTTTTAAAGTCGTGTCTTTATCCCCATATAATGGAGAGTGTGCCACTTGGCTAATAATGTGTTTTCAAAACTACAAGTTCAGTGATGACAGCAAAGAGGGCCACGGTGATGTCACAGGGGCTGCCAGAAAAAGTGACTCACACTTAAGCACCGGCAGGTTCAAAACCTGAGAGGGTGGCCCTGACGATTAGCACTCTGGGTTGTACAGCTTGCTGCTTGTGCAATAAGAGGTTCTAGGGTGGAAACTTTCAAGATGGAGAGGAGTGACGGAAGGGGACATTTACTGCTCAAATGCCATGCATTTCACTGCTTGCCACTGAACTTTTATTTGAATGACTTAGTAATGCTTAATATAATTGGGCGACTTTTTTAGCACTTTGGAAAGAGTCATCAATCTTTCTGGTAAATTATATTAAAAAAAAAGTTTTCTGAGTGAGAAAAGGTGTGTTTGGAGTTTGTTTGACTTTTTATATTATTATTGTTATTAATAAAGAAAAATCTACAGCATTTTTCAGACTCCACCTAGATAATATGTACCCCTGAATTTGGTTTGCAGTTTGATACTCAGGGAAGGATGTATTCCGTAGATATCCTTTCCGCGTAAAACACTAACATCTTTGAGAAATTCACCTGCCAACTAACTTCAATTCTGTTTTCTCTATGCATTCTTCCATGAAAGCAAGCTTATTTTTCCATATAGCATTGCAGTTAGGTTCTCAGCACTTTCTTCTATCCTTTTTTTTTTAACTCCTCATATTATGTTTGGATGATCATACTGTCAAGGTTTGTGTACATTACTGAAAATTTGTATTGTATAAAGCTTTTTGCATTACAAGGCTGTACAGGGTCATTTTGACAGTAACTGGTATATTCCTTTGCATCTTATGTTGCATTGCCAATTTCTAGTGTATCCAGTTTGAAAGTATAATATACTCTAATTAAAAAAAAAAGGTTGGCTATACTCTGGTTTCTTTTGCTTTCTTGGTTGCCACCCTTGGCTCCTGGTGAAGTCTCAGGGTTTTGTTTGTCTTCTTTTGTTCTGTTTTTTCACTTTTCAGTGTGTTATCACATTTTGGAAATGCCCACTCCTGTTTATAGCTATTACAAAATGCAAGTTTTGAACAGCTGTGGTTATAATGCAAACTGTTACTGTGTAAGTCATTAATGTCTTTTAAGGTTGGGAGCATATCCATCATTCAGGACAGTGGCAGCCAGCTCCTTCCTGAAATTATTTAGTGACATTTAAAAGCGTTCAGCAACCATACCCTCTCCTGCTTAACATTATTTTATTGACCCGTAGCCAAAGGGGGGCGGGGGGAGACAGATGAATAATTCCATTTATTTAAGCTGAGCAAGTAAGAGATTTTAATGAAGGGAAATGCTGTTTTGCAAGCTAAATAATAATCTACCCAAAATGCAAATAATCATAGTTCACCATTCAAGGGAAGGTACCAGAGAAACTGAGACCAAAAAGAAATTTCAGAAGTGTTGGGGGAGGAGAGAAAGACATGAAAAGCACACTGATAAGTTAAAAAAAAAATCTCTTAAAATCCATTTTAAAGCTGTATCCATTCGAGATCTTCCCCATGAGTCTGTGATGATTGATAAAAATATATAAAGCAGCAGATGAGAATGTTTGGCCTGGTTCACAACTTGCATGCTTATAAATATAATGTCCTTTACTTATTTCAAGAGATTGTGAACCACTTCACTCTAACATTTAAAGTGATCAAATTTACTTTTTAAAAAATGAGATAATGTAGGAGAAACCACTTTGCAAATGACCAGTCACTAATCAGACCCTATTTTCTCCTTCTTTTTCTCATTCAATAACTATTTTTTAGAGGGTTGAAACGTTTTCTTTTTATCGGGTTCAAGCACTAATTTTGTTTTGGGGTGGCCGGCACTTATGGGAAATATTAATATGAGCCAGACTCCTTTGATTTTGGTAATGAATACAAGCATGAGTGGCTTCTCATTTTTAACAAACACTTCTTTTCTTACACTCATAGCTACATCACATGCTCCCTCTGGTTAGGTAACCTGCAATATGAAGAAAATAATCATCAGTTTGGATACCATTTCCCCTGATATGGGCTTCCAGTGACCCTGAGGAACAATCAGAAAACAGAGCCACTAGTGAGAGAAGGGACCTCGTGTTTCTTTAGTTATGGATCGGGCATCTTTAGGCCAGTCACCTGGCCTTTGAATTCTAATTCCAGATCTTAGATACCCTTTGTATTGTCAGGCTTCATAAGTATAATCAAGGTCAAGCAAGACTCGGGACATGTTTATACTGTGTCTGTGGCTGATCATTCATTTGGTGACCACCAACAAAACATATCTCATTGTTTAACAGCCATATCTTTGGTCACGGGGGAATAAGGAGAAGAGAAATATCAAGATCTGGTGAGCATTTTTGTCTCCCTGCCCAGGTCAGAAGCCTCACGTTAAAACTCTGCCAATGGCCATGGGGAGCCTGGTGGGCAATGTGGACGGTGTGAAGGGGAGGACGTGTACCTCATTAGTTGCTGAAACACAGAAACCAGGCCCTCCCAGTGCTTTTCAGGCCATGGTGAGAAGGAGAACCCAGAGAAGCTGTGCGTGTAAGAGGAGGAGGAGGGAAGGAAGGGGTCAGCCCCTGAAGGGATTTCATTCATGCCTCCAGGAGGAGGCAGAGCATGTAAAACTGAAGTTCTTCCAACCACAGCTTAGAACCAATGAGCAAAATCACCAGATACAGAGGGTCCCTTGAGTAGGCTCAGGCCACATCCTAAGGAGCGGTCAATCAAACACGCAGGCTACCCCATCAACATCTTTTCTTATATCATCCCTCACAATACGAGAGTCCCACACAAAATGTGATTTATTTGGTGAATAATTCCAATTCCTCAAGTAAGTGAAATGTGTTAACTCCTGGGGACTGAAGGACCCCAACCTTCCCCTTTTCCCAGGTCTGGGTGATCTCAGGTTATTCATCAAGACCTCTTCTTTTTTATGAGGTAGTAGATCTCTCATTCATAATTCTTTCTTTAGAGTTGGATCTGCAAAACAAGACCATACAAAAATCTGCTCACACTGGTAGTTGCTATAAAAGAGAAAGAAAACAATTGCTCTGTCCCCTTTTTTGAAAAGATTCCTTTTCAAAATGGTTAAGGTAAGCATCAATAAGGGTTTTCAATACAATTGTAGACTTGAAGCAGAGCATCTACTTTTATTCACACTTCAAAATTAATTCCCCCTACTTCAGAATTAATTCCCATGGTTGTCCACCCTGTTTACTGAGAATACCTGATTATATATAATGTTTTCCAACAATAAAGGACATACCATTGAGGTAAAGCATGGCTCAGACACAAATGAGGGGTTTTTTAGTAGTTTTAGTTGTAGACAGACACAATACCTTTATTTTATTTATTTCTCTTTATGTGGTACTGAGAATCGAACCCAGTGTCTCACATGTGCTAGGCAAGCACTCTACCACTGAGCCACAAACTCAGCCCTGGTGACAACATATCTTTAAGCACCTCATAAAAAGAGAGGGTGAACTAGATGATCTCTAAGACCGTTCCCCACCCTAACGGCAACCTATAATAAACCACATTTCTATGACAATAAATAAGAAAAAAAGTTCACTTTTGAAGTAGAAGTCATTGCAAGGCAAAAATTCTTATAAGACAATTAGAACAAAAATGGTACGTCAACATTTTTAAGCCACCACCGGCTCAGAGGAGGGAAAAAAGAAAAAAAAAAGACTAAAAATATTTTCCTGCCCACTTCAGAGTTTGGGAGGTCTAAAATTTTCTTCTTATTAAAGCTAAGTCACCATGGTTGGATTGCCTGAGTCATCTTGAGGGCGGCTTAAACATATTTTACCAACCTGTGGGTACTTCATCTAATTTAATGAGTTAGGAGCCAGCCAGATGGGAATAGAGATGCCTTGCCCTACCAACTTCATCTCTCTAACTCTGCTTCCTCCATTTCCCACCACCCCACTTCTTCCAGCCTCCTCCACGTGACTGGTACGATTGTGACCACCGAGTTCTCTGCCTGCCACCTTTAAGTCTACCCTTCTGTAGAAGAGTAAATGATTTAGCAGGTCTGATGAGATCATTTTTCATTTTGACATCATGAAATAATATGTGAAATAGTCTTATTCTGCCACTTGCTTAAAAAGAAAGACTCACCCCAAGAACTCGGAGAACATTAGGAAAGTTAGTTCCCAGGCACTTCAAATGAATGGAAAATTATCTGTTTATCTTTGTCTGTGTACCTATTTATCTCTATTGAATCTAGCCTCACTAGGTGAATCTACCTACCTATTTATCTATCTCTACCATCTGTCATCATTCATTTATCTTTAACCATCTATCTGTTTCCTGATCCCCAACCCTCGACCCCTGCAAAAAAAAACAGCACAGAGCCCTGAGAATAGAGATTACGTGCAAGCATTTATTTTCGGAAGCAATTTTGAGAACAAAAAAAGTGGGATATTAAAAAGAGTGAAACAGCGAAGAGGAAAGACAGTCCCAGGGTGCATCAGTGAGCTAGTCATTGCTACGGGCAACTGGATGCAGTCCTTCTGAGGGTCCCCATGAGGACCGTGTAGAGGTATCTCAGAATCAGCAGCCCAAGGGTGGGAAAAGGAAGGGGTCTGAGTAACCCCAGAGGGCGTCCGTGCTCTTGCACTTCTAGCTTTGCTTGACCCATGGTTGAGGAGGTCCTAGAGGCGGCCAAGAAACCACGTGGGAGAGCTGGCTACTGGGTAAAGGTGAGGCATTGCAGTTACACCTGACCACAGATGGTTGCAAGGTCAGTTAGCAAGGTGGGGACCACCAGTGTCCAATACAATGGTTGTATTTGTCATGAAGGTTCCCATTACTTTTCCCTCTAGGCCCATGTGGGCTACCCACTGAATCCCTTGAATTAGCTCAAAGCTCCTTTCTTGTCCTCCTACTTCTGAGAGGGACTGGTGAAGTTGGCAGAATCAGTGCAGGGATGTGATGCTAGGGAATGACAGAGCTGGCCCCTGGGAAGCAGGTGATGGCCCTGGAATCCGTAGGGCAGGGTCTCTACAGCCTTCTCTTCCTTGGGGTTTTTTTGTTTTGATTTTTGTTTGTTTGGGATCTGGTTTGGGCTGGTTTTTTGATGGTGGGATGGACCCCAGAGCCTTGTGCATGCTGGATGAGGGCTCTACAACCGAGCTCTACCCCCAGCCCTGGGTCTGCGTTGATTTCTCCAATAGGAAAGCACTTGACAGGGACATGGGCTGGCTCCTGCAGCTTCCTTGACCCAGGAGGGCCCAAACAGAGCCAACGGGGAGAAGCTATCCCAGAGCACTGGGACCAGCCTCAAGCCCAAGTATAGGCACCCAGGTGGCTCTTGTAGGTCCCAACTTACTATGAATGGGAGTCCAACAAAGGGGTTGGGAGCTAAAAATAAAATGGTTACATTTGCCTGGCATTTTCTGTGTGCACAGAATTCCCTCAAAAATTCCCTGGGCTGGA